TCCTTTTTGGAATCTTCCCTGTGGAACTTTCCATACTTTCGGACTATTCTTGATTATCATCTCAGAATATCATCTTCAGAACAGTTTTTACTACGGCACAACATACTGATTAAACTAAACTCAATGTAAAGATTGGATTTTGATAATGAAATAATAAACGTTTAGGACTTCAACTTTTAGGAATTTTATGTTACTTTAATTCGAACTAAAAAAACTGTTTCATTGGTGCCGTGACCAGGATATAATTAAGTTTTCCATAACTTAAATTTGGATTCAACTTCAACTAATTTGGAATTTCTATCACTATTGGATTATCATTGCCATTGGAATTAAGTTGGATTATCATCTCTAATTGGATTATCATTATTGTTGGATATAAATCAGATAATCAATAGTGTTGGATTAGTACATCAGGTAACTATATGCAGTTAATTGTAAACTATTGTTATGGCTAAAACACATACATGTAGTTGGATCACATATGAATTAGAAATTATTAGTGGAATGTTTACCGACACCAATGTTCATGGATTAAAAAAAATCTAGTCATGCTTCCCCCACTTAAAATTACGGGAAGATGGCATTCAAAACGTTTATGGATATTGCATATTAGTCACGATGTTTTGCCCTTGATATTGTGTTATAAAGAAGTCAAAAGTCACCATAACCTTCAATAAGAATGATTTTTACGAAAATGGCATATGAAAATAAAATTCATCAAGTTGGAGTTAGAAATTCTGACAATTTTGCACCAGCAGTTAGGTCAGCTGCACTCATTAGCCCGTTGACAGTAATCTTTAAAGAAGATGGATTACTATACATAAATTATTTGGACATGGAAATTGGATATTGAATATAAACTGTTTCTCACTGTAAATATGTATATAAACTGAGTGTTTAAAACGCTTGTAAGCTGCTCTTAAGGAATATTATAACCTTATATAAACAATTGCCATATGTGATGATAATGAAAAATGTAGGATGACGCACATTCATACTTATCGTGAGCTGATACACTAAATGGGAGAGCTATAATGCCAGAGTTTATATTCGTAGACGCCCCATACCCAAGAGATGTTAACTGTAATGCCAGGGAGTGCATTCTTTGATGTTCGTACCCCCGGGAAGTATTTTAATGCCAGGTAGTGCATTCGTAGATGTCCCGTGCCCCAGAGAAGTAATCGTAATGCCAGGCAGTGCATTCGTAGATGTTCGTATCCCCGGGAAGTATTTTAATGCCATGTAGTGCATTCGTAGATGTTCGTATCCCCGGGAAGTATTTAAATGCCAGGTAGTGCATTCGTAGATGTCCGTATCCCCGGGAAGTATTTTAATGCCAGGTAGTGCATTCGTAGATGTTCCGTGCCCCAGAGAAGTAAACCGTAATGCCAGAGTGCAGTCGTAGCCGTCCCGTGTTCCATGTTACCCATGATAGTGTATCAGTGCATGTCTCAACCAAAAGATGTACTTTTAATGCGAAGATAATGTTACAACAGATGAACCGTTCCCCAGATGTCACCATGATGCCCAGAAAGTGCAACCATACAAGTTTAGTGAAATGAATGTGAGATATACAAGAAAACATATTACCCAATAGTGCATCACATTGCTTGAATATTAAAATGTCAACTGCTGCAAGATGTTGACAAAATACAATGCTTGGATATAGCAAATGTAAACAAGCCTTATGGATATATAATGGATTATGCTTGAGCGATGAAGAAGAATGGATTATTAAAATAATGACCATAGAAATCAACCTCTTGATACACTGTATTTTATAACATTTTGAATATCAGTGCTTAGAGACAACATATAACCAACATCAAAAGAAAACTGTTGTGAGAGAGGACTGACAACTAGACCCTGATTGAAAACATTGCTTACTATTTACGACAGTGTAAACTAAATCAGGCAAGGGTAAAATTCAAATGATTAAATGTTCTTCAGGAAATATATACAGTTTTTATTAAGGTAACTGGTAAATCATAGTAAATCTGATCAAGTATGAACATAGGCATGTTTTGTATGTCTCTGTTATGAGAATTTAGGGGTTATATAATAAATTATCACAGTTTTTCATGTCGAAGTGGGTGCACACATTTCTGCATGAAAATACTGGATACCTTTTATTCTTCAAGATAAATTTGATTTTCTTGATAAAATTACATTTACTTTCTGGTTGTTCGATTCAATTTTTGTAGTCAAGTTAGGTCTGATTTAAGATATTGAGATTCTAATTGTCGTCGGGAATTTTATTGAATGTCAAGGACCAATTCTATGTGGTTATGCTTCTATGCTATTTATTCTAGCCAGTGGATGTTCAATATACGGTAAACTTACATCTGAAAGTGTATATATTGGGGGAGGTTAAAGGCTATTCTAAATAATTTAGTACTGAACCATTTAGAAAATATGAAAGTTGATGAATACCATTATCAGTACAATTAATGTGACATGACAGTTTCTCAGTTTACCATAGTTGGTCAAGTTCTGTAACGAATCCCTAAACTGAATATAATTCAAGCGTTTGTATCTGTTTCAAATAATGTTAATTTTATAGTGATCTAAGTCAAGGAAGAATTTCATGTTAATTTGTTTTAATATATCTCATGCCAATGCTTTAGGCAAGAACATTTTATACAGAAATATTATCTTACCTTAAAAATGAATTGGAATTGAAGAATCGCTAATTGCTGCTTGTATGTAACTTTGCATAATGCATATGTATGGCAAGTTTGGAATAAGAGGCTAGAGGTGAAACATTGTTTTTATTCTGCTGTCCTGTTGCTTGGCAACTTTCTTAAATAATATAAACATGTTCTACTTTACTAACCTTTGACTTTAGGATAACATGACATTCGTGAAACCAGGAAATTGTAGTAAACAATTGCATTTATAGTAAACAAAACATTTCATAGTAAACAGGAATAGTAAACAGTTGTGAATTTCTAATAACACATGTGTTACTAAGTGTACTTATATTTCACAACTTCAAATATCACTATTTAACCATGTATGTTCTTTTATACAGTTTATATATGCTTTAAGAAAACATACCATGCATAATTTTGCATTGAAAAAATGAAACAAAAATTGTAAAAGAAACCTTTATTAAATATTAATGCGTTTGAAGAACAGTTATTATATGGAGTAAAACTCTGTAAAACTTTGTTGTATTTGCAAAGTTGGTGGTAATGAAACATTGTTGTTGTTTTTTTATTGAATATTTTAGTAGACAATGTTTATTGTACAAATATTTTGTGTTTGAGGACAAACACTTTTAATTAAGTTGGGGGTAATGAAACAGGGTTTAGGTTTTCATATACATCAAATTTTTGTACAACTTCATTTTTATATCACATTGATTTAGGTTTTAAGATATATGTTATTGTTCTATACATTTGATGTACATCATTTCTATTCTTTATTCTCCTTAAGTCCACTTGCACTCAATACGTGATATCATTCATAAATAACATTAAAATCTTGGCTCTTTTCATATTGTTATGTCTTTTCTATCAGGAGAGTTCCAATTCCCATAAAGGAGGATTTTTTAGTTCAGGATATTCTAGTGTATTACATAATCTACTTGGCTTTCTATTGGTCCAAATGTTGGTTCCTCATGGGAAGCAACATTTGCCTCCATTTAGAGGAGGTATAGGAAGTCCAGTAGATTTTGATTTGATATTATCTTTAATTTGTTCATTATTGGTTCATTTATTTGGTAATTATGGGAAATTATTATTCGCCTCCTTTTTGGAATCTTCCCTGTGGAACTTTCCATACTTTCGGACTATTCTTGATTATCATCTCAGAATATCATCTTCAGAACAGTTTTTACTACGGCACAACATACTGATTAAACTAAACTCAATGTAAAGATTGGATTTTGATAATGAAATAATAAACGTTTAGGACTTCAACTTTTAGGAATTTTATGTTACTTTAATTCGAACTAAAAAAACTGTTTCATGTCCCCATGTTAAGTCGATGCACCCTTGCTGAAATCCTCAATTTCTCAGAAGAACTCAATAATCTCAACAAGTAGATTCCTGTTGGGTAATATTGCTAGAATTCATTTTCGAAAGTTAGAATAGGGGTTCTTAAACGGGACATCAACAACAATAGCTATCATTAAGCTTTCAATGGCAGTTTGCAGTCTTTGAATGATGACATGTTTAAGGACAGAGTGAAACAGTGAAACATTGCCTCAACTGCATTGACTTTGGTGGTGATTAATTTGAAGGACTATGAGTTAAAATGTAGTCTTACATGTAAATTGGATATATTTGGAGGTATGACATCATGTAGAAAAACTCAATAAATTGCCTTCAAACGCGACTTAAAACAGGGTGCCCCACCTACCCAAAACAATTGTCACCATAGCAACAGCAATAACAATGGAACTGATGCTAACCCATTGTCCTTAGTCTTGTTTAATAGGTTAATATTTTCTACATTATCTTTGAAAATTTCAATGAAATTGAATAAGGTATGAAGAAAAAAGAGCAGTTGGTTACTTGCTTTCTGATCGGACCTCGTACTCTAGAGTTTGAGCCTTGTAATAAACTGGCAACTTGATACAGGGGCGTCAGAAGGATTTCGCAAGAGAAGGGGTTGACTTTTGGACATGGATGGATCGTGCGTGAAGCGTGGATTGGGGGGGGGGGGGGCATGCCCTCAGAAAATGTTCAGATTTAGATCCTCTCTGATGCATTATGAACATCTCAGCACAATATTCCCAATAATAAAAACAAGAAAAACAAGAGAAAATTGTGTTAAAAGAAAACTAGCTTGACTTTGACTAAAATTCTTCGAATTTTACTAAAATATACATTTTGCTCTTATTCTCCAAAGTATTTACATACTGTATGGGTTCTTTAGAAACAATGGTACAGAATAACATATGTAAATATAGTAATGATAAATGGGATCTTCTATGCTTGATATACACTAAATAATGGCATAGTACCATTTGACTCTAATTAGCTCTCAAGAGCTTTCAAATTCTAGCCTAAAAAAAATCTGGGAAAGGGAGGAAGCGGTCATCCCCAGCGCCCTCCCCCTTCCAAAGCCAATGTTGATATGAAAACTATCAAGTCATTTGAGCTAGGCCAATGGCACCCATCCACACCTCTATGTTTGATGAATCTGGTAACCTGAAAACACCAACAAACAAATATGTTTTGAACACCAAAACTGGAAGAAAAAATATCAATGAAGTATATGACGACACTAGTGTCTTAATCCTATTGCTTCACTACTATGAAAAACACCATCTAATTGCTTATGTTACGATGGAGTCTGTGTCAACTTCCAACAAAAATGTCACCTCACAACTTCTTGCTGCCCGCAGCCTGAAAGACTGTGACACAACATCTAGTCTTTACCACATAGGCAAGACTAAAGCAGTTAACACCAGACTTGAAATGCTCCTTTAAGTTGGATTGGAGAAGACCACATACCAATATCTGATGTAAAGACACAGGCTACTAAATTCACAGCAGCATGTTATGGTATCAATCCAGTCATCTGATGTTAGATTTGCTGTGTGGACCAAGAGAAATGCTGCCAGAACTGCAATCATTGCCACCTTCAAACAAGGCCTTTGAGGAAACATGCTCATCTACAAACATCCCTGTGTAAACATGCAGCCCAACCCGTACCTCCTAAGTTGCAACCACCGGAGTATGGCTGGCAAATGGATATTGTCAACAACATGTTAGTGTCATTTAAACTTCCACCAAATTTTTTGTGTGCACCAGACTCAGTGCTAAAGATGATACATTGTACACGTGAAAAGTGTACCAGCAACTAATAGTCACAGTCACCAGTGAAACAAATGATGATGATCTTGATGATGGAATTGTTCTGCAAGCGGTCCAAGAAGTATGGATAAAGAGACCAAAAATGATACCCTTGTTAACGGAATAATAGCTGACACTCAATGAGCTACAATATCTTTTACAAAGGATGGTAAATTCATTTATTAATGATAGATACAAATTTTTATGAACAGTATTTCAAACCCTTTCATCATCCAGTAACTATCTAGCCTTGCCTGTATGAAGTTAATAAGTACACACTACCCTACCACGTGACCACGTTTAAAAGGGAGACAGGGTACAGCTAAGTTGCAAATGGAGGACGTGGGTTTAATTCCATATTTCTGAACGTAAAATACATTTTACATTTATTTTTAGTGGTCTACCAGACATAGAATTGATTCATCAAGCAGTTTGTAGAATATTGTTGGCAAAAAACCACTATAGGCAAAGATAGATAATAGTGGGCGCAGTGAAGCAAAACTTAATGCAATACACGATACATTTCAGTAAATCTGTCAACGTACAGGGAGCATGTAAGTTTCCCTTCGAAAATGTTACATTGATATGTAACAAAACCCCAGTAAACTGTTATTTAAACTGCTTGGCATCGTGTTATATGTGGATACGTTTTCCAGTATGTTATTCAACTGTACTTTTGTGAATTAATTGTTTTTCTAAAATCTTAAGATGCAAAATAGTCGTCCCAGAAATGTATCTTTACTTTGCCGTAAGGCATAACATATTGTGAAACATTTTTCCTCTTGTCACAAGGAGGATAATGTTTGTTTCGAGGTGTCTTGTGATGAGTGTTTCATGATTAAATGCAAAATCACTGGAGCAGATACCATCCAAAAACATCTGACATTCAACACGTCATATAAGACTACATCGATCTGGTATTAGTTTTTTTACAATAATAGAGAAATACGACGTCATATCACCTCTACAGCAAATCGTGAAGAACAAAATGTCGTTGCATGATGGTATTTTGAACAAACTATTTTAAATGATCGGTTTTTGAGGACGGTAGTGAATTAGACCATTTAAGGGGTTATATAGAAAGATTCTTTACATGTAGTTCACGCAATTTTAATTATTCTGAATAGCGGATAGTCATTAATCCTGATGGCCAATAGTCATTTATCACTTACGTGTTTATATTTAATTTCGTTATTTTATTTCAATTTGATACATGTACCCTAGTAACACGTATAATCTAGCGTTCTTGTTAATTTAATGACTAAAATGCATTTACGACCTGAAAGCCCGTGTCTAAATCTACTAAATAATGTTTACTTTATTTGGATTAAATAACAATTGATTACACCTCAAAGCATCAACAGGCGGCCTTTTTAGTATTATTTTCACTGTTTGCAACGTAAATATACATGAGATCGGGACATAGTATGTCTGTATAATCAGCTTACTTTCTCGCTACCTGTACTATTGAACAATTTACATTCCTTGTACCCTGTATTGATCAACTTTTGCAGTTGTGTACCGTGTACTTTGACATATCAAATATTTTAAAATTTAAAACGATACGATTTACATTATTTCTTCAACTATCATATAACTTGGAACATGGACTTCACTATTGCACCACTGAAGTTCAGCGAATAGCAATATTGACTTACTCCGAGCACCAAACGTATTAACCTTATCACTAAGCAGTCGATATTCTCAAAAGCGACCTGATTGAAAGCCAAAAAATTCGCGCATGCGCTATCGAGGTAGGGTAGTGTGAAGTATTCCATGTTAACATCTACTCAATAGCAGAATGTCCAGTAACATAACCCCCCCCCCTTCAAACATGGTGGCATGACCATGGATTATATACTAAACAATTAGTGCTCAATCCCTGATTTCTGTTTTCATGTGTTAAAATTAAACTAGTTACTTCATATAATAAAATGTATTTAAATTCATGATGGTGTTAAGGATAATTTAGTCAAAATAGACTTTTGAATGTAACCTTTTCACGAATTGCATCATTTAATATTAGGATTTACTGTAATAACAAATAATTTTTTACTCTTAAAATATTTAAGACAGAAGCTTTTTATTTTAACACCATCCCAAACATGTATCAAGTCATATCTATGAATAATGTGAGATCACAATTACGCTTTGTTCAAATTTTATGTCTTCAAAACATAGTGACCCCTTGGAATATATGTGATATCGGGGGGGGGGATAAATGACCAGTACTCTGTAAATATGAGATTTTAGGTAAGGAAAAAAATAGACATGCTATTAAGGATATATAACAGGTTATACTAGGTGGCTTGAGTTAAAGACTCTGCTCAAAACAGGATCTTAAGAGGTTCTGGACAAATCATTTGATTCTGGACTTGTCATATTTTTTTTCAACGAAAAATCACATCCAAGGGTTGAATTTTTATTAGCTATTTAGAGAGTGAGTCCTGCCTAGTATTAATTTCAATAAAAAAGTTAAAATAGAACCCTATTTGAGAGTCAATCTAATACTTACATTACATTGATAAATTAAGGCAAATCCTGAAATATTTTTAAAGTGCGTTTTTTAATGAAATATTATCCAGCAAGTATTTAAATGAAACGGTCTTATTTAAATACAAATCATAACATGATATTTTTCATGAAACATTTTTCAATGAAATTCAATTGAAGGGTCAAGATAAAACGAGCTAATTTAGGTGAAAACCCTTACATGATGATGTGTTTTCATAACTTCTTTCATAGAATTCCATCAAGGGGTGAAGATAAAATGATCGAATTTAAGTGATTTAAGGATCACGAGAATATGTTTTCTTTGATATTTTCTATGAAATCCCATCCAATGGTCAAGGTAAAATTTTGATTTTGATTTTGATTTGGTCACGTGTTCGAAAGATCCATATAAGGCCCATAGAACCATATAGGAACGTCATTTTGAATGTCACGTGATAGATCCATATAAGGCTTTTGGAACCATTTATGGAAAGATGAGGGGAAGCCCCTGACACCTGTTTCACGATTTTTATGCACTTCATTATTGTACCGAAGTTTGCCGATTCGATTCGTCGTATTTCGGAATCCTGGTGACAATTTTATACTCCATTGGAGTATTTTTGACCTACTTCTTATGACGGAAATTCCCGAACCTTGTTCGGATTAATCCGGATTTTCTGACCTACCTTATCTACCGAGATTTCACGAGTTAACATTCGTCTCATTCCGGAATCCTGGTGACAATTTTATACTCCATTGGAGTATTTTTGATCTATTTTTTCTGGATTTTGCCCTACTTATTATATCTTGACAACAAGCAAATCAAAAAGTTCGACATGGACGGGTCTCGATCAACTAACCTAGACTATGGAAGCCAGGCACGCTAACCATTAGGCCAACGAGCTACCGATATGAAAGAACAAAAGTATTATATATTTATACCGAGCGTCAATTCAAAATGATCCTCACTTTTGTCTCCACTTAAATACGACTTGTCAGTTGTATCCAGAATAGTAGAACGCCTATGGCGCTAGTGAATAACCAAGTGCCAGGTGAGTGGTTCGTATCCCTCCGTGATTTTTGTTTTATTAAATACGACAGAAAGGAGCAAGGTGTAGGTTGAAAACAAGACGTTAGTTTGTTTCAAAACAGTTTGGAAACATTAATCTCTGATAATTTAAGGTTTTCCACTCCTGAAGGGCCTCTAGATCTATGAAATTCAATAATCCACTCGGTAAAAATACGATTTCTCTGCAACCTGATGTCCAATCAAGATCATTCAAATATATATGTGTTCCTGACACGTTTGGGCGTCCGGGAATAAAATTGCTTGTGAAAACTATTTACAAAAGTGTTCCAGAGACCCTTACCTACTTGGCTAAGGTTTTATTTGAAGATACATTGCCTTATTAGCAGGTAGAGGGGCATACAGAACACAGAAGCAAATGCTATGTTGAAAATTTTCTATATTTCAATTTGAACCTGTGTTTACATGTCACGTAGGCCAGTGTTTTATATGGGGATTATATGTACTTTCCTTGTTTACATGAACGTAAATCATTACATGAAATCTGCATTCTTCTGGGTTTAATCTGGGTTTGTATTGTCTTATTGGGGCTTTTCGACTTTAAAACAAACCCTACCTAAATGGATTGTGTCTCGGGAACGTTTTTGTTAATAGTTATTATAAACAATTCTGAAAGAATATCACATATTTTTGTCTTCCCGATTTCAGTCATGAATTACGTCAATTTCTCGTGCAAACATTGGGTAGACGTTGTCATAACCGGATGCCCGAACGTGTCAGGAACATATAGATACTCGAATGATGTTGATTGAACATCAGGGTTGAGAGAAATCGTAATTTTACTGAGTGGCTTCACGAAAAAATAAGCAGCACTTTAGGCCACCTAAATACAACTCGTCAGTTGTATCCAGTTGGAATCCCAGCGTTATGTTTTTAATTATATAGTTGTGCTTTGATTTTACGCTGAAAACATTTATAACTACGTCAACTTTATATTAAAACATTTATTATCTTTTCAGTTGTATTAAAATGTAAAATATGATATATGCCAGCTTATTGCTTTCTGGAAAACAGTCAAGGTTTAAATTTGGTACAATGAATCGGACACTCATGTAAATCGACATGGTTATAACATTGAACTCAATGCAGTAAATTAGTTATTTCTATGAATCACAGCGGGATTGGTTTCATTTTATATGATTGCCAACTCTGGCGGTTTTTTTGTAAATGCTTTTGACCGCTGTAAATGTGAAACTGATACAGTATTATTCAATTGTTTTATGTCTTGGTCACATTTGCTCCGATTTTCACTACGGCGCCCGGCCGATTGAGTATTGTGTTCAGAAATGTATTCAATTTTGAACAAAATACTCGCAGCAAATGTGATCCAGGCATTACACAGCGGTATTTCGAACATACTATTGT